CGAGAGGAGAATGGAGGAGAAGGGATTGTGGCGTGACCATCCCCCCTGGGGGGTGATTTCTCGCTTTCTGTCTCTCTGTCTCTCTCTGTCTGTCTGGCGAGTGCACGCGCCCAATAGCGAAAAACCTCTCAAAAAAAAAAAAAAAAAGGAGCTTGTGGGAGCCAGGTAGCGTGGTGGTCAAGGTACTGGACTCCCACAGGGTCAACTGTGGTTCGAATCTCAGACCCAGCAGCTTGAAAATCATGCCGGCATGTGCGTGCATGCCCAAGATCCCAAGAGGAGAAACAGAGAAGCAATTGTGGCATGGCCTTTCCGAGGGATGATTTCTTACTTTCCCTCTCTGTCTCTCTCTGGTGAGTACATGCACTCCATGGGGAAAAAAAAAAAAAAAGAAAAAGCTTGTGGGGCCAGCTAGTGGCATGGTGGTTAAGGCAGCTGGATCCCACATGGACAACTGTGCTGTTTGAGTCCTGGACCTGCTGGCTTGAAAAATAAACCAGATGTGTGTGCATGCATGCTCAGAGTTCCCAAGATAATGGAGAAGGGACTGGGCCATCGCCATCCCCCAGTGGTAATTTCTCTCTCTGGCAAGAACATACATACATACATACACCTTCTAAAAACATAAAACAAACAAACAAACCCAGCTTGCTCTGGGGCCAGCTTCATGGCCTGATGGTTAAGGCAGCTGATCCCATGTGGCTGACCTCACAGTTCAAGTCCAGAACTCAGAAGTTTGCAAAGCACACCTGGCACATGTGCATGTATGCCCAAAATCTCAAAAGGAGGGAGAGATGGAGAAGAGGGATTGTGGAGACTGTTCCTCAGGGGGCTTTCTCATATCCGTCTCTCTGACAAGTGCCATCTTAGAAAAAAAAGAAAAAAAGGGCTGGCGGTGGCACGGTGGTTAAGGGCGCTGCACTCCCACATGGACAACCGTGGTTTGAGACCTGGGCCTGGCGGCTTGCTTTCTCACTTTCCCCCTCGTTCGTCCCTCTCTGGTCTAATTAAAATAATCAATTTAAACAAAGAAAAAATAAATAAAAACATTTAAAAAGAGAAGACGTTGCTCCAAGTAAGTGAAGCTCAGCCTGCACATGTCGCGGAGCACCGTTGAGCCCTGGGAAGGAGGGCCCCTTGGATGAGCCCTGAGGATACTACACTGGGAAAGCAGACAGTCAGGGAACAAGTGCTGCCTGATTCCATGTCACGAGGCCCTTCAAGGCCTCAGACTCGGAGACAGACTGTGGCATGGAGGGTGCCAGGGCGTGGGAGGAGGGAACGGAGTGAATGCTTTAGGGTACAGAGTTCCAGTAACACAAGACAGAGCGTTCGAGGGGTGGCTGGGGGGAAGGCTGCATGGCACGAGCGATGCCACTGGCTGTACACTTACAGATGGCCGAAATGGGCCTTTCCC